CTCATATTCTCCATAGCACTCACTTCAGTCAAATTTCCTGCCCCAAGCGTCTCCATTTCCCCAGGATCTCCTGAAATTTGGTCAACTTTTAGTGTGAATTACAGCAACTCCAGGAAACATTTCTCAGCACTGGAACTGCTGGATAAACGCTTCTACAGGACTTTACATGCGATGACGCACTGAATGCTCATGACAAACCTGCAACAAAGATTGATGACCTCCATTTTATAGATGAGAAAACAGAGACTCAGAGGGGTTGGGGAACTTGCCCAAAGACACACAGCTGGGACGCGGCATGCTCCAAGTCAGGTGCTCTTCACTCCTCGGTAGGAGACCGCAGAGGCCGGGGGCTGCGGTGGTGTGTTAGAGCATTCTTGCATTGCTATAAAGAGATACCTGAGACTGGGTCATTGTAAAGAAAAGGTTTCTTTGGTTCATGGTTCTGCAGGCTGTACACGCATGTGGTCAGCATTTGCTCAACTTCTGGTGAGGAGGCCTGCAGGGAGCTTTTACTCAAGGCAAAAGGTGAAGCAGGAGCAGACACATCCCATAGCCAGAGCTGGAGCCAAAGAGAGAAGGGGGAGGTACCACACATTTCTAAACAATGAGATCTGAGGCGAACTCACTCGCCAAGGGGATGGCGCCAAGCCATTCGTGAGAAACTCGCCCCCGTGATCCAATCACCTCCCACCAGGCCCCACCTCCCACATCGGAGATGACATTTCAACATGAGATTTGGGTGGGACAAATATCCAAACCATATCAAGGGCGCCTGTAGCAGGAAGCCTCCTAGGACACCTTCTGTCCTTACAGGGAACACACACAGTGGCCCAACCTGTATCTGAGGATAAAGTGCTGTTGCCCTCGGGAGTCAGCCTGCATGCAAAGACCTAAAAGGGGATGGATTCGGGACAGAGAGGGCAGCGGAATTAGGGAAGACCCCACTTGGTGCTGTGGGAGCCTGAGGAGGGAGTGATGGGGAAAGTCTGTGTTTTAAAGCTGATGTTTCCCAGAAGTAAGCAGTTTGTTTTAAACAACGTTAAATATCCCTGGATCCCCTAGTGAAAAAACATGAGGCCCTTTCATCGCTTGCCCTGCTGATGGAGGAGGCAAGAATCGCAGTTTGGTGCTATTGCGTCTTAAACATTATTCTTTTTTTTTTCTTTTTCTTTTTTTTGAGACAGAGTGTCTTGCTCTGTTGCCCAGGCTGGAGTACAGTGGCGCAATCTCTGCTCACTGCAACCTCCACCTCCTGGATTCAAGAAATTCTCCCCTCTCAGCCTCCCGAGTAGCTGGGATTACAGGCACACACCATCACACACAGCTAATTTTTGTATGTTTAGTAAGATGGGGTTTCACCATGTTGGCCAGGCTGGTCTCGAACTCCTGACCTCAAATGATCCTCCCACCTTGGCCTCCCAAAGTGCTGGGATTCCAGGCATGAACCAATGTGACTGGCTTCCCTTTCTTAAGTTTAAACAAAAACAAACCACATGTCAAGCTTCTAGGACTCTCAGGCAGGTAGCAGCATCTCACTAAATTTCAATTGCTGCCTTTGATTTTCTTGTATTTAGTTGTTACATTTTAATGTATTTTGTTTTATGATAAGTTGGTTGTTCTGTTTAAGTAATACTTATATAACATCTACTAAATGCCGCACACTGTTCTAAATGCTTTATAAATGTTGACTAATTTAATTCTCCCAGGGACCTATGAGGCAGGTACTGTGATTATTGTTATTCCCATTTACAGATTAGGATGTTGAGGCCCAGAAAGGTTAAGCAAACTGCCTGAGGCCACAAAGCCGAGACCGGCCAGCTCCACAGCCTGTGTCTTAACCAGCGTGGCACACACTGTCAGTCTATTTCATATCAGTTATCTGTTGATGGTTGTGGTATAACATTTTTTGAGACATGGTTATTGGAGTAACAAATAGAAGGCAAGGTAAGCTCAATAGCAAGTGGATAATTAATTGCACCAGCGAAAACCTCAAAGGCAATAGACCAGTGGCAGGAGTTCTGGGACGCTCCAGCGTGGCTGCAGGGATACAGCATGTGGACCGTGAAAGCTGAGTTGAGAGGGTGGCAGGGGAAAGGTGTTGGAGGGGAGGAGTCTGCTCTGGCAGAGGCAGAGACGCATGACAGAGCCTGGGCTGCCAGGGAGACAATGAGTAATTCAGGGCAGTCAGCCAGTAATGGCAGGAAACCCGTGGACTGGTACAGCTCTTCACAGTCCACGAAGCATTACCACATCTGCTTTCTCACAGCCTCTTCTTCACTGCCAGGTGCAGTAAGCACTGTGGTCCCCATTTCAGAGAGTAAAAGAGCCAGAGAAGAGCTACTATTGGCTCCAAGATCTTCTGGCTTCAAAATCTGAGCCCTTCTCTCTACTCCACTGTGTCATGGATCTTTGGTGGCAGGCGACAGACCTAGACTTCAACATGATTGAGCAACATAGGTGGTTTTTGGCTCATGGAAATGAGAAGTCCACAGGGTGGACATCAGAAACAGCTGGATCCAGGACCTCATATAATGTCATGGGGACTCTTGATCTGTATTTCTCAGTATGGATGTCATTTTTCAAGGAGGCTCTCTCTAAGAGGGAACAAAGATGGCTACAAGCTCTCTGCAGACACCAAAAATTGCCAGTTTTCTAGAAAAAAAAATCGGTGCCCGAGTTGACATCCATCCCTGGTGCAATCACTGTGGTCAGACAGATGGGCTGCTTTGATTGGCCAAGCGTGGGTCAGGAGCCCACTTTGTGGGGCATGGGGCGGAGTCAGCCTCATACAAACCACTACAGGCAGCTCAGATCGAGGAGCTCTTTGGGAAGAGACGCCGGGCAGGCAGTGGCAGCAGGTACCCCCTCCGCATCCCTAGTGCTCTGTGATATAGGCAGAGGTAAGAAATTAGAAGGGATGAGGAGTTTTTTGTCTGTTTGCTTTTTTAAAGACAGGGCCTCACTCTTTCATTCAGGCTGGAGTGCAGTGGTGCAATTACGGCTCACTGCAGCCTGGACCTCCTACACTCAAGCAGTCCTCCTTCCTCAGCCTCCTGAGTAGCTGGGACCACAGGGGTGCGTCACCTGGCTAACGTATTTTTACTTCTATTTTTATTTTTGGTAGAGACAAAGTCTTGCTATGTTGGTCAAGGTGGGGATGAGGAATCTTGAACCTGGGCAAAGGAATTCACACTTTCTGCTGTGCTGTGGTCAAGATAAAGCCATCAGGGAGTGACGGGGACAGAGCTGTGTCAGGGCTCACGCTGTGGCTGGGGTGATGGATGTGGACAGAATGGCGGGGGAGGGGCAGACACAGACTCCCCCTCCTGCGATCAGAGGCCACCTCTTCGAAGCGTGGTAATGGGGCCTCTGCAGGGGCTGGAATCACACAAGCTCCATATTCATAAAAGCAGGTTGAAATCGCATCTGCCCCAGCGTGATTTTATTTGAGTAGCGATGCTGTTGCTTAGGATGATGCTGCAGTTAAATTTTTAAGGGCACTTATTTATAGAAAATATATTAAATATATATATTAGAATAAACAACAGTGTACACAATGTACCAATATGGCTAAAATTTTGGAAGTGAGATATTTGGGCATCTCTTGGCTAGATCATTCTGCGACCCCTCCGTTTCTGATGCTCTACATTCTTATCAATTACCGCTGCTAGTTGAGTGTTTATGCGATGGGGGCCATGCCCAGGGTTTTATGCAAATCACCTCCTTGAATTCTCATAAGAGGCCTGGAAGCAGGCCTTGCTGTTTCCACGTTACAAGGCTCAGAGCAGGCGGGGGACTGGCCTGGAGCTGCACAGCTGGTCATCTGAACCTCCCTGGCTCCCAGCCCGTGCCCTGCCTCAGTGGCTGTTTGGTGACTTTGTGAAGGAGGTCAGAGGGAACTATGGAAACTTTGGGAAGATCCTGGCACAGAGGCAGAGGGTTTTCCCTTTGTGGAGACAGCGCCTAGAGAAAGCCAGCCTATCACTTGCTTCCTGCAGGGGGCATCTCTCCTGGGTTTAGCTTTTAGCTCCATTATTATTATTATTATTATTATTTTGAGATGGAGTTTTGCTCTTGTTACCCAGGCTGGAGTGCAATGGCACAATCTCGGCTCACCACAACCTCCGCCTTCTGAGTTCAAGCGATTCTCCTGCCTCAGCCTCCCAAGTAGCTGGGATGACAGGCACGCGCCACCATGCCCAGCTAACTTTTGTATTTTTAGTAGAGACGTGGTTTCACCATGTTGACCAGGATTGTCTCGATCTCTTGACCTCATGATCCACCCGCCTCGGCCTTCCAAAGTGCTGGGTTTACAGGCGTGAGCCACTGCACCAGCCTTCTTTCTTCTTTAGATAGGTAAATACAGAAGTTTAATTTCACACAATGCTATATTGATAGGCTCAGCAAAGGCAAAATATTCAGTAATCTCCAGTCACCTGCTGGGCATGGTGGCACACACCTGTCATCTGAGCACTTTGAGAGGCCAAGGAGGAGGATTACTTGAGCCCAGGAGTTTGAGACCAGTCCAGGCAACAAAGCAAGACGTCATCTCTACTAAAATGTTTTCAAAACGAGCTGGGCGTGGTGGCATGTGCCTTTAGTCCCAGCTACTCAGGAGGCTGAGGCAGGAGGATCACTTGAGCCCAGGATGTTGAGGCTGCAGTGAGCCGTGATTGTGCCACTGCACGCCAGCCTGGGCAACAGATTGTGACCCCATCTCTAAAAATATTAAAATAAAATCATAAAATAAATTCACTTAGCATTTGGGACGTGACGGCGGGGCAGGAAGAAGGTAGGAGAAGGGACTCTCAGGGTGAATCTGCCATTTCTAAGAGGTGGGAGTTCTTGGGATCATCCACAGGGGCCCCCAGGATCTTGCTTTTTTCTTAAGACAGTTCCAAGAATCTGGGGCAAGTCTGCCTGGGAAGAGACAGGATGAGGGGAGGTAAGGGGAGCCCTGAACCCTGCCTGGGCTCACCCTCCGCTGTCGTCTCTTGCAGGTCTGTGGGAGTCAGCATGCCGTGTGGCTCGGCCGTCCCCTTGCTCCTGCTGCTGCTCCAGGGAGGTAAGTGGCTTCCCTGTGGTCTGCAGGTGGGGAGGGCCCCCATCCCGGAGCTCAGCTGGGGCTGTGCTGGCTTTGTGGGCGCAGAAACACGGCTAGAGTCCACAGATCCAGAATGGATGGCACCTGTGCCCTTGAGGCCGACACAGCTCCAGTAGCCAGCTCTCCAGTAACCAGAGTCCATCCACCAAAGCGCTCCATGAACCAGAAGTGGTACACGTGAGTCTCAGGTGGCTCAACCTGAGGGCTGTGTCTTCCGGTGCCGCTGCGGGGATGAGAGGCTTCCTCCTTTCTTTCCCCTGCGCTCTGCCTTGGCTGGCTCCCAACTCTCTGAGTGAGGAAGTTCTGTCTTCCGTCTAACCTCAGTTTCCCCTTCTGTAATGACTCTCCTTGGAAATGTTGTTCAACAGTTGCTGGGCTGGGTGGGGTGGCTCATACCTGTAATCCCAGAACTTTGGGAGGCCAAAGCGGGGAGTAGGTCGCTTGAGCTCGAGACTAGCCTGAGCAACATGGCAAAACCCTGACTTTACAAAAGAAGAAGAAAAGCCAGGCAGGGTGGCACATACTTGTAGCCCCAGCTTCTTAGGGGCTGAGGCAGGAGGATTGCTTGAAGCTGGGAGGTGGAGGTTGCAGTGAGTCAAGGTGACGCCACTGTACTCCATCTAGCCTGGGCCACAGAGTGAGACCCTGTCTAACAACATCAAACAAACAAAAAAAACAATCGCTGGATTCTTAGCAGACACTGGTGGCCCCCGGGTTGGGAATGGGAGGAAGAGCCAAAAGGAGACCGAATCTTGGTAGGCAGCCCCTGGGAGACCAGATGTTGAGGTCAGAGGGGACCATGTTAGAAAGCAGAGTTGGGAAGGGCAGGAATCTGACTGAGGGGGGCGCTATCTAAGACTAAGAGATCCCAGGAGCCTTCCTGGAGGAGGGGGCCATGAGGAGGCAGGATCCAGCACAGGCTTGTGTGGAGGCCGGCCTAGGGGCAGGAGAGGAACTGAATGGCTGCTCTGCTGACTCATGGGCATTTTTCTCTGGTTTTTACCAGAAGACCCAGCACCTCAAATAGCTCCTTCAGGAAACAGATGTCAAGCTTTGATTTTCCCTTTCTGAGTGGTGACCATCCCCGTCTGGGTTCTAAAAAGCCTTTGGGTCACCCGCCGTGGCTCCACAACTGGCAGGTGCAGCTAACAAGCCCGGGCTGCAGGCAGAGCTCAGAGCATCATCTCATTCCAGTCTCCCAACAGCCCCGCAAGGCCCCTGTTGTAATGACGCCCAGCTTTTGGTTGAGGAAACTGAGGCTCAGAGAGGCTAAGGGACAGGTGCATGGCCACATCCCTGGGCAGAGGCAGAGCTGGGATCAGTTCTCTGCTCTTGAGGTCTTAGTCTGTTTGTGCTGCTGTGACTGAATACGTGAGACTGGGTCATTTATAAACAATAGGCATGTATTGCTCACAGTTGTGGGGGCTGGGAAGTCCAAGGTCAAGGCATCAGATTTGGTTCCGGTGATAGCCCCATCTTTGTTTCTTCTTTTTTTTTTTTTTTTTTTTTTTTTTTTTTTTTTTTTTTTTTTTTTTTTTTTTTTTTTTTTTTGAGACTGAGTCTTGCTTTCTCACCCAGGCTGGAGTGCAATGGTGCAATCTCAGCTCACAGCAACCTCTGCTTCCCGGGTTCAAGAGATTCTTGTGCCTCAGCCTCCTGAGTAACTAAGATTACAGGCACACACCATGGCTAATTTTTGTGTTTTTAGTAGAGATGGGGTTTCACCATGTTGGCCAGGCTGGTCTTGAACCCCTGACCTCAAATGATCCTCCCACCTTGGCCTCCCAAAGTGCTGGGATTACAGGCCTGAGCCAACACACCCGGCCCCCATTTTTGCTTCTAAGATGCCACCTTGAATGCTGCACCCTCCAGAGTGGATGCAAGCTGGGTTCTCATATGGCAGAAGGGACAGAAGGGCAAAGTGGGGCTGAATGTTGGGTTCCTCTAGCCCTCTTATTGGATCAATAATTCATTCAGGGGGGCTCTGCCTCCATAACTTAATCGCCTCCTAGAGTTCCCACCTTTTAATACGATCCCGTTGGCAACTGAGTCTCAGCGTGTGAGTTCTGGGGAGACATAGACATTCAAACCACAGCCTGGCCCTCATCCCCACGCTGTGCCGCTCTGTTGAGCGATCGCTGTGCACGGGCAGCGTGTGCTGCACAGGCGCGATCTCATCTCAGCACCTCGGCACCCTCTAGGGCAAGCAGCATCCTCCGGCTTAGACGTGGGGGGCAGAAGCAGTTTTGAGTCATGTGTTTACAGTCACAGAGCTGGGGACGGCACAGCCACTTATGCGCCTCTCACTGCCTCCAGCATGCTGTCATAACCCCAGACGTGGCATGGCCCGGGGACTCTGCACTGTGGCTGCGGGCACTCGCCATGCATTTGCCCACCCTCTCATCCCTGGTGCCACCTCCAGGCCAGTCCAGAGGCTGCTGTTGCCTCCCCAAGTTTGGAGACAAACCCTGTCCCTTGGTAGCTTTGAACCTGGCTAGGAATGGCAGCTCCTCTCCCAATTCCTAGAGCCTTGAGAAAGAACCACAAAGATATAAACGCAGAGACGACACAGCTACTGAGAGGCTCTGGGTTGAGGCTTTGCCAAAATCAGTCCTGTTTCCTCTGCCAAGTGCTGGAACTAGCTCCTCGGCATCCCACCCACAAGTCCTGTGTGCCTCCCCGAGGAAAGCCCCTCCTAGAGCAAGGTTTATTTCCACGACTCACACCCCTTGGTAGCCACTGCCCAGAGAGCTGTGTTGAGGATTCTGAGGTCACACCTAGGGGAGAGAGTGCTGTGATCCATTAGCAATGCCTGCCATGTGTGCCACTGTGAAAAACTAGCACAGACTAGGTTTTTTTCTTCCCTGGGTGAGTGTCTCAGCAGCTCAGACCAAGAGAGATGAGAGGCGTGGTCTAGTCTTGGAGCCTCAGTGTTCTCATCTCTAAAAATGGACTAAAGGATGTTTCCAGCCACAGTATTCCTGGCTCCGAATACAGGTTCTGTCCTAGAGTGAGAGCCAAGAGGGGAACGTGCCACCACCACCTCGTGGGTCTCCATTAGTCAAGGAACATTAGGAAAAAGCCACTGAAAATGAACCCACTTAAAAAGAGGAACAAGGCCAGGCATGATGGCTCACGCCTGTAATCCCAGCTCTTTGGGAGGCCGAGGTGGGTGGATCGCTTGAGATCAGGAGATCGAGACCAGCCTGAGCAACATGGTGAAACCCCGTCTCTACAAAAACATAAGAATTCTCCACGCGTGATGGTGCACAGCTACAGTCCCAGCTGCTGGGGAAGCTGAAGTGGGAGGATTGCTTTAGCCCAGGAGGTGGAGGCTGCAGTGAGCTGAGATGGCACCACGGCACTCCAGCCTGGGTGACAGAGCAAGAGACCCTATCCCTCCAAAAAAAGGAGATGGAAGGTACAGGTTTCTAGTAAATAGCAGCAAAAAACAGTGGAATTGGCATTCGAATATATAAAACAAAGCTACAAATTATTCCATTGATCTTGTCCAACATTTAACAAAATTCAGATGATGATTGAGTCTCTGTTTTAGAACACAGAGAAACAATATTTGGGGAGTGGGTGAAAAGGTCCCAAGTCTTCCAGCAATATCGCCTCACAGGGCAAGAGATTGACGACTTCTTGGTGGCGGTGGAGGTGTTGTTTTGGCCGTAGGATAACGCAGACGTTTCTGCAAAACTGTCGGAGGGCTTCTCAGTTCTCTCACAGGTTTCCTACTCCTCGGAGCACTTCCTGAATCTCCGAGGGTGCGTGTCCCGTGGAACCAGCTTCTGCAGAGCCCAGGCCTGCTCCTTGTCTGGGCGTTGGGACGTTTTCAGCATGAGGCCCCGACCCTCTCAGGGTTTGTGTGTGTGCACTGGCGGAGCGCCTGCCGCATCTGGGGGCATTTAGGATATTACCATTCTCAGTGGGAGCTTGGCCGGGTGCAGGGCTCCGGGGGAGGGTGCTGAGCTGGGATCAGCTAGTTTTTCATTATTTGCCATCAGGAGTGTGCCGTCTTCATAGCCAGCCTTGAAAGGTTGGCGCTCAGACAAGGAATTCGCACGTGGTGAGGCCCCAGACTCACACCTTAGCAGCCCTTGGGTCTTCACGTTCGTCCAGGCCCAGGGACCCTGCGCCCACTCTTCTTCCAGCCCTCGAGGGGGTGGAGAGGAAGCGCCGCAGTCTCAGGCCACCCCCACTGAGGCCTCTCTCCCCCGTAATCCTCCAGGCTGGGGCTGCCCCGCCCTCGTCTGCTACACAGATTACCTCCAGACGGTCATCTGCATCCTGGAGATGTGGAACCTCCACCCCAGCACGCTGACCCTCACCTGGTAAGTGGCCGGGCCTGGCCAGTCCCCAGGGATGCAACCCACCGTGTCCGCTCAGTGATTCCACCCCCAGGAGGCCGCTGGGCACGGAGGACCACAATGCCCGCCCTTCAGGCCCCCAGCTACATGTTTCCCATGAATGGTCACTCCCGACCCTCACAATGATTGCTCCCATTTTACAGTTGAGGACACTGAGGTTCAGAGAGGTTAAGCAACTCACCCAAGGTCACACAGCCAGTGAATGCTGGAGCTGGGATTCAAATTCAAACTCCCCAACTCCAAAGTCCATGGGTCCCTTTGAGTCCATATGCAGCTCGGGATAAAGAAGAGCATCTGTTATCCATCAGCTCATTCATTCGCTCAAAACACACAGGCCACGTGCAGTGGCTCACACTTCTAACCACTTTGGGAGGCTGAAGAAGGAGGATCATTTGAGCCCAGGAGTTTGAGACCAGCCTGGGCCACATCACAAAATTCTGTCTCTACAAAAAATAAATCAGTCGGGCCTGGTGGCACCATCCTGCAGTCCCAGCTACTTGGGTGTCTAAGGCAGAAGGACCAAGCTCAGAAGGTCAAGACTGCAGTGAGCCATAATCGCCTCTGCACTCCAGCCTGGACAGCAGAGCAAGATCCCATCTCAAAGACAAAACAAAGCATGTATTAAGTTCCTGCCAAACACTGTTGCAGGCACTGGGGATTCAGCAGAGCAGGGCTGACCAGGGACCAGATACCCTAGAACTGACGTACCGCAGACAGAAGCACAAAACATCCAACAGGCTGCCTTCTCTTTTTTCTTTCTTTTTCTTTTTGAGACAGGGCCTTGCTCTGTTGCCCAGGCTGGAGTATAGTGGTGTGATCAGAACTCACTATAGCCTCGGCCTCTCGAGCTCAAGCAATCCTTCCTCCTCAGCCTCCCAAGTAGCTGGGACTACAGGCATGCATCACCACACCTGGAAAATGTTTGTAGTTTTTGGAAAGACAGTGTTTTGCCATGTTTCCCAGGCTGGATTCAAACTCCTGGGCTCAAGTGATCTGCCCACCTCAGCCTCCCACAGTGCTGGGATTACAGGCCCAAACACAGGCTACTTTTTTTTTTTTTTTTTTTTTGGAGGAAGTCTCACTCTGTTGCTCAGGCTGGAGTGCAATGGCACGGTCTTGGCTCACTGCAACCTCCAC